GAGTATGCTGAGCTCTTCCACAGTCCCGGGCCACGCCTTGCCCTCCCTGGCCGCCTTCCTCGGCCAGGCCAGGCAGGGCCGGCTGGCCCGGTTTGCCGACCGGTGCCATGAGGAGCATGCTGCTGCCCTGGCACAGTGACTCCCTCGGTTCCCTTGAGTAGGGCCCAGGCATCTTTTGCCCGGCCTTGGCTCCCGACCCACCCCCTCCCCCCGCAGGTAAGAGCAGCGTCAGCGTCAGCAAGCAACGGTCAGCGGCAGCCCCACCACCCCCACCTCCGCCTCACACACTCACTGGCCCCTTGCGCGATGGCACGCCGGCATGTTGGCATGGGAACGCCAAGCCCGGCACGGTAGCGGCGGCTGACTGAGTAATGGCACAGCCGACCGCCGCGGCAGGCCACTTTGCACTCCTGCCTGCAATGCATGCACCCTTACATGTGCAGCCTTCTGGTATTTTCATGTGCCTGGGAGATGTGCGGGCATGGGGGCCCATGTGCCCCATGCCATTTGAGTGCCCGGCGGCGGCGCTGCCTGCCGCCGGGAGCCCGCACCAGCATCGGCACCCGTCGGCCTGGCAGGCCTAAGCTGCTAAGGATCCCCACGTCCCCCACCACGTTGTGGGGGTTGCGTGTCCGGCAGGACGGGGAGCGGGGCCAGGGTGGGGTGACCCTGGGACGCTCAGCTGGGGGGAGGGTGGTCGGAGCCATGGAGAGGGTGCTCCATGGTCCACCCCCTCTCTTGATGCCCCTTGATCACGTGTGCCCCCTGCCCAAGGTCTGCTCACGCGGCCTATCATAGCGGGGTGACTGTAACACAGGGACCAGCTTCTGATTCCCTCTGGCACTTGGCCCCTCCCACACCCCTGCTGCAGCTGGCCTGAACTGCCATCGCTCCTGCTACACCCTCGACCTCGCCAAGGCGCTGCCCATCAAGCAGGCCTTGTTCAAGGCCTGCAAGGTGGTCGGCAAGGTGGTCATCAAGGGCGCCCGTCGCCGCGAGTGAGTGACCGCAGCGCTCGAGCGTGGCTGCCCTGACATGGCGGACCATGGCTTGCGCAGCTGGCAATGCGTTGCTGGCGCAGCTGTTTGGCTGGCGTGCGCCGCGCAAGGAGCGGCCTGCCATCAGGGCTGCACCCCACTTCTGCCGCCTTCCCTCTCATTCGGCTTAAGCCGCAAGATTGAAACCCTTGCGCGCCGTGCTCCTTCGCCGCCACCCTGCGCAGCCCCAAGAAGCCGGCGTCCAACCGCTCTCAGGCCAATGCCTGGGGCTGCGGTTCCGTGATCGAGTACAAGTTGTGAGTGCCACCGTCCGCCCGGCTGCACTCGCCTGCCTGCCAGCCCCTGCCTTAGCTCGCTTGGCGCTGCTGCTCCATGTCCCACAACGCTTCGGTGGACTGCTGCTACTACTACTAAACACCCTGAATCACTGCTCGCCTGCCTCTTTGTCGCAGTTCTGGCCCCACTGGCCCCAAGGCTCTGACCGCCTACCAGAGCTGCGAGCACTCTGCCCCGCTGTACATCTCGAAGCTGCAGCCTTACAAGCTCAGCCTGCCCCCCGGCCCCCCCCGCGACTGGCGCTGCTGAAGGCGCGGCACTGAAGAGCGCTTGAAACGCTCACATGCCAGCATCTTCACCCGCACCAAGCGCATGCGCGTGCGCCTGCGTGCCGGCGGCCTCATCGTCATGATGATCCCCGGCCTGCCACCTGTCCCTCGATCCACTCACTCCCTTTCCCACACACTTTGCCCTCTGATCTGCACTATGTCTAGCAGATTTGTGACCTTGTTTTTGACCCCTAGTGTTACTTATCTACTCAAGCTGAGTGAGAGATCGATGACGGGAGAAGAGTTCAGCTTTTGGAAGTTCGCTCAGCCCTCTGTCACATAGGCAGGACGGTCCTGCCTGCCGCTCTGCTTGCTGCTGCCGCTGTCGCCTGCTTTGCTGCCGCTGCCCTGCTGCCGTCAGCCCCGAGCTTTTTGAGCAAGCTTGCTGTGATAGGCCTCTGGTACTTAGTAATTGGTTAGCACCACGCGTTCAGGGGATAGAAGACGGAGCGAGGGGGGCACAGTGTGCGCCGAGGTGTGCGTGCGGTGCAGGTGCGGCAGCCCAAACAAGTCGAGGCACTGGCGGCATACGGTGCTGCTGTCGCCAATCGACCGAGACCCACTTGCCAAGCAGCGCAGGTGCCCTGGCTCAGGAGAGCAGCAGCAGGCCCACCAGCACACTGCCAAGCGCCGCCAGGCCCGCCTGCATGCAAGGTTGGCGTGGTGCAGTGTTGTGCTTGTTGTCAGCCGCTGGCGCGTGGGGCTCCGCGTGTGTGCTGCTGATAGCAGGCGGGAAGCACAGCGGGTGGGTTCATTGCCGGGCGTGTCACCTGCACTGTGGTGCCCGCGCTTGGTGGCGGGGAGGAGGCCGGCTCCGAGGGTGTGGCGGGCTCTGGGGTGGAGGAGGCTGAGGCGGAGTCCGACTCACTGCCAGTGAAGCCTTCGCCGGTGTATTCCTCCTTGAGCGCGTCAGCATCTGCGGCAGGGGCAGCAAGGGATGCGGGTGGGTACGCCCGGCGGGCCTGGGTGTCCTGCTCAGGCGCCAGCTTGGCTCACCAAGCAGCACGCCGCGCCCGCGCTCCTTCACTCTCCGCAGCCACCGCCAGGCCCACACTGTTTCTCCCGTTGGGCAGCCCCGCCAGTGGCTGCACCGCCCTCACCCGGCAGGTTGGCCAGCTCCTCCTCGGTGAGCGGGATGAAGGTGTCGTCATTGACGGGCTCATTGATGCCGCCCACCAGGTCATCCGCTGTCGTGTACTCGTTGCCCATCACGCCTAGAGGGGGTCAGGGGGCAGGGCGAGGGGAGGCAGCGGAAGGTGAGGGCGGGGGGAGCAGGCAGGAAAGCAGAGGCCGCCTCAGGTGCACTGCGTCAATGTGTGGCGTGGCTGTGCAGCGCTGCTGTCGCAGTAGCTGGCTGTGCAGTGCATGGTGGAGGTTCAGTGAAGGCAAACGCTGAATGGCGGCTGGAGCAGCCACCGCGCGGTGCAAGTACCAGCAGACGGGGCGCCGCCTGCCACTGGGCAGCTCATGCAGCGCACCAAAGATGGCCTGAGTGGGGTCTTCCGCCATGCGGGTCAGGATGCCGCTGCAAGGATGGGGTGCAGTGGGGCCACGTTGAGCCCAGCTCAGCATGGCTCCCATGTGTCAGCGCATGCCTGCACCGCTGCCAGGCGGCATGCACACACTAGCAATGCATGGGCTTGTCGGCGGGCACGAGTTGCAGGCCGGGCTGCACGCTGTCTTTCAGCGCTGCCCGCGCTGCGCCCGCTCACATGGCCGACTGGTTGGCGGCATCCAAAAAGTCAAAGTAGCCCAGCGGGTTGCCCTCGCCGTCGGTCAGCCCCTGGGCAATCTCGTCCAGCATGGTCTGCGGTGGCGGGCAGGCGGGAGGTGGCAGCAGGGCGATTGGGACGGGCTGGCCGGGAGCAGCGGCCAGGAGTACCGGTGCGCAGGCCCTGCCGCGGACGTTTGCCCCCGCGCGGAGCGAGGCAGGAGTGGCGCGGTGTGTTCAGGTGAGGGAGCTGGGAGGTGGCCCGGCAGGGCATGCGGGGCGGGGCTGGCAGTGGCGGCGGGCGCACAATGTTGACCAGGTCGATCACGATGGGGGCGAACTGGGTGTCGGAGGGGTTCCAATCAAAGATGGTCCACAGGACGGGCCACTTGGGGTCCTGTGCGCAGGCAGCGGCAGGGGGTGGGGGTGTCAGGGTCAGGGCGGGCGGGCGAGTGGGTGCGTGAGGGTGCTCGCGCCGGTCTGCGCTGCGCCCACTCCCAGCCTGGCCTCTGGGGTCTGCTCTCTTCTCCCTGCCAGCCCCACCTTGATGTTGACCATCACAGTCTCCCCCACCACCTCCATGTTGTAGCCATCATACCTGCGGCGCAGGCAGCACAGATATTGCTTTGCTTTGGGGCCAGCAAGCGCGGTCGACACGGCGAGCCCCCGGGGGTTGGTACACACACAGACGCCCCCGCACTGCTGTGGCTGCACTCACTCATAAGACCACATCTCTGGGTCGAAAATTTTGGAGTCGGTGCCGACAGGGGAGATGAGGGTGAAGCCGGCGTTGGGGGGGTCCTTCTGGTCGCCAATCACTGTGGCCTGCAGGGCAGGGAAGTGGCGGGGCAGCCGAGGGATGCAGCGCTTCGGCACCTGCTGCAAGATGCGGATCACAGTGGCCGCCTGCGCTGTGGGCAGCCGCCTGGCTGCCCACAATGCCGCCACCCTAGGGTGGCGGCATGCCCAGCACATGCGCAGCACATCCGCCGCCGCCGTTGCCACGCAGCCGGTGCACAGGGGCGGTGGCCACGTCTCGACGGTGCGCACCGCGGTGAGGTTGAGCGGGTTGCTCTGGCCCAGCTTTGCGCCGTTCAGGGATGCCCCCACGCCCTCGGTCTGGGCGTTGGGGTCCACAAACTCGGCAGCAGCAGCAAGGCGCGGCGGCGCCGCCGCCAGGATGGCCAGCGCCAGCACGGCCCGGATGAAAGGCGCCATGTCTGTTCGGCGATCTGCGGCAGCGTGATGCTGGCACGGCAGCATGGAGGCGCTTCAGAAAGGCTGTGTGGGTGCGCGGGCACAATCAGACGCGCATGTAGACATCGAATGGGCCGATGGGGCCCAGTCTCAACAGCTCGTTCGACTTCTATCCCGCTGCGAAGCACACATAGAACGGGTTTTCTCTCACCTTTGATTGACCACGGGCAATGGAAGGGTGTTGGGATCCCTAATGGGCTGCAAGACCAACTCCAGCGGTGGCAGCTGTCTTGTGCGATCTGCCCTGCTGCTCGATCGCAAGGGCTCGAGAGGGAGCTCAGCGCTCGCGGGGGAACATTTCGGGGGGCATATCCATATTGGTTGATTCCCCGAACGGAACGCCCGGCGGGCACTCAGGCCTCGAAGATCTGAAGAAAGATGCCGGTCGGCTGGGCGATGCCCCCCCCCCCGGTGATGCCAGAATTTCGCTCCCAGCTCGCTCGCAAGGGCCCCAGGGAGAGGTGCTGCTTGGTGCCAACCGTAAATGGAGCACATGGACTCTGCACATAAGGACGTGGAGGCGGTGAAGGTGAGACCTCCCCTCGATGAGGCGTGATGCTTCCGCCATGCACGGCGCTGTCGGCTCTGTGGAGCGGCAGACTCAAATAAGGATTGGATACTGGGATTGAATTGTGAACCGTGGTCCCCGCTGAATCCACATGCACCCACCCGCCCGCCGCCCGCCCGCCCGTCGCTGCAGCCGCCACTCAAAGCTACGCCGCCGACCCCGAAAGGGGTGTGGGGCAGCCTGGTGGGCGCCCAGCAGACATGCTACCACCATGCCTCCCTCGTGTGGGACAAGCTGTCGTATGCCCTCAACTTTGAGTGGCTGGCGCTGGGGCGCATGCCCTCGCTCATCCTCTTTGTGCTGCTCATCATCGGCCTCTCCCTCACGGTGGGCCTCACCGGCCAGTCCGTCAAGGACGGCGTCACGCTGGGGGTGGAGTTCGGCGGCGGCTACCAGCTCATGTGGGTTTGACCGCACGCTTGGACATGAATATGCCACAGGGCCAGGCGGCAACAACACAGATCATGCTTCTCAGCCAGCTGCAGGGAAGCTGGTACCGTCCTCAAAGTTGTCAGCCGGCGCCACGTGCCCTGGCCTGCAGGTACTCGTGCTACCAGAAGGAGGGAGGGCCGCCAGTCACGGATGAAACCATGCAGGAGCAGGGTACCTTGGCTTTTGAGGTAGGGCAGCGGCTGCGCCTGTTGCATGGCACGTTTTTCAGGCGGCAGCACCATGGCAAGCAGCGGGCACATGTGGTGCGCGGCCTGCCTTAGCATGCCGGCAGCCCCTAAGCTGTGGGAACTCCTGGTCAGTTGGCCTGCGCCTGGGCCCATTGTTTCACACACACGCTCCCACCCGCCCACCCGCGTTGCGCACCGTGCCTGCAGCTGTGTGAAGAGAACGGCCAGCCCAACGCCCAAGTGACAGTACTGCTGCCCAGCAAAATTCAGATGGTGCTGCCAGGAGTGTCAGACACAAGCGAAATAGGTGCGGCGTGGGCATCGCTGTGCCCTTGCCCGCCTCAACACCTGGAGAGCGCGTGGCAGGTGGCACCTGTGCCCTGTCCTCCCCCCCTTGCTGTCCAGGAACCTGGCATCATGCTAGCGCCCTTGCCAGCCTGCGCGCCAGGCCGCCCTGCCCTGCCTACTCCCTTGGCTCCTTGGCTCCCCTTTTTCCTGCACATAGCGCGCCCTGCTCACTCCCTGCCGCTAGCTCATGTCCCTCTGGCTCCCACACCATGCCGCCGCCGCCCTGCGTGCAGGCCCCATCCTGGAGGGCTTGGAGGAGCTGCCGCTGGGCATGCAGGTGCGCTCCGCCATCTCCATGAGCGGCACCCAGGGCAAGGATGACCTGCACAAGACGGTGGTGGCTGCCGGCATCGCCCTGGGCATCGTGTGGGCGGGCCTGGTGCTGCGCTACCGCGCCGCCGGCCTCCTCGGCTTCTTCCTCTCCGTCGTCTTCCTCTGGCTCCACCTCGTCCTCTTCAACGCCTCCTCCTACGCCCTGTCTGACGCCGCGATCGTGGCAGTGGTGCTCAACATCGGGCTGGCGGCAGACGCCCACATCATCGCCTTTGAGCGGGTGCGAGAGGACCTGCACGCGCTGCCACGCGGCGCGGGGCGGCCTCAGGGCCTGGCCGCCCTGCACTCCGCCCTGCGCATCTCCCTCATCACCGTGCTGGAGGCCAACATCACAACCATGCTGGCCATGGTGGTGCTGTACGGGGTGGGCACAGGAGGCACCGTGGAGTTTGCCTTCACGGTCATCATCTCGGTGAGCGTGGGGCCTTGCTGGATGGCCAGCTGTGCTGGGCTGGCAAGGAGCTGGGCGGGCACCCCCATCAGCAAGCGCCTGGCAGCGGGCCCGGCGCAACATGCATGCATGTGCGCCGTCCACCCGGCTCTTCTCGTGCCAGCCTCGCCTGCTGGCCGACAGCCCCATGCGCCCTCTCATAGCCACACACACTGCTGCCCCTCCCACGCAGGTGTGCGCCTCCATTCTGATCAACGTGCTGCTGGCGCGCGCCCTGCTGCGCCTGGCTTGGAATGCTCAGCTCGTCTCCTGCGGCGGCTTCTTCGGGGACAAGGGGCCCGTGTATGATGAGGAGCGGGTGAGGAAGGCCCCGGAGGCCCTGCCGCTCTGTGCACGAACCACACCCCTGCTCGGTGCTCCTGCCAGCCTGGGACGCACGGTGCAACTGCTTCAGCGTCCCCCCCCCAGATGGCGGTGCCCCGCCACCACCGCCACCGCCATCACGCACACCTGCGCACACCCACATCCAACCCCCAGCACTCAACAATGCTGTGCAGAAAGAAAAGTACGAGCGCATCAACAGGTGGGTGCTGTGGCCCTACTGGAAGCCCAAGCGCCGCGTCACATTGGACTTTGTGCGCTACTGGTGGACGGGGGCGCTGGTCACCCTGGCCGTCATCATCGGCGGCAGCGTGATGCTGGGCGTCGAGGGGGTGAGGCGGCCAGCCGGCCAGCTGCGACGCCCGGCAGCAGCGCTTGTAGAGGAACGGCGCAGCATGCTAAGTGGTGGCCGTGGCATGCATGCAGCGCTGGGGAGGATCCGCGTGCCCCTGGCCACCCACCCAACCCCCTCCTGCTCACCTCTCCCCACCCCTCGCAGCTCAACTGGGGCGTGGACTACACGGCAGGCACCTCTGTGTCCATGCGCATCCCTCCACCATATGACTATACATGCGACTCTGTGATCAGGTGGGCAGATGTCTGCAGCCCAAGGCCAGAGAAACCTGTCATGCCAGCCTGCCATGGCTTTCGGCTGCGCCCCTGCCTGTCTGCCCTGCCCGCCTGCTGCGCCCCCACCTGTACCTGCCCGCTCGCCTGCCTCTCCGCAGGTATGCTGAGTATCGCACCAACACCACCGTCTCTCGCTGTACCATGGACGACGGTGAGCCGGGGTGGCAGCCGCAGGCTGGCCTCATGCTGGATGCCAGCAGCGGCCCAGCCTGCCCCACACGGCTGCCCGGCTCCGCTGCCTGCCATGGGCCAGGGCGTGCCATCGCCCTGGCTCAGTGCAGCAGCACCACGCCTCGCGCCCTGCCCGACTCTTGCGCTGCCGCTGCCGCTGCCGCTGCTCTTGTTTTCTTCCATTGCAGTGGGACATGTGGACCTGAAGTTCAAGGATGCTGTGGACCCCTACAACGTGCAGCTCATCATCTTCCGCATCACGGTGAGCTGGCGCTGAGCTGGCGCTGCCTGCTCTTTATTTGACGCAGCACCCTGGCCGGCCGGCCTGCCAGCACCCGCCATACGCCTGCCTGCCTGCGCGCCTGCCTGCCCGGCCCCATGGGGGCGCCCCCATGCGAGGTGCCACACCCACACCACACTACACACACCCTGTCTGCAGAATGTGCTGGGCGGGCCCATTGTGTACAACGAGTACACCATCGACAACGAGCTGGCCAAGGACCAGTCCAAGAAGGCGGTCATCGCCATGTGCGTCTCCGCCGCCGTCACCTGCGCCTTCCTGCTGCTGCGCTTCGGCCCCGGCTTCTCCTCCTCGGGCCTCCTCTCCATGGCCTCCACCGCCATCTTCACCGTCATGTGCTTCGCCATGGGCCAGTGGGAGGTCAACCTGCCCACCGTCTCGGCCCTGCTCACTGCCTTCTCCTACGCCATCAACGACTGCGTGGTGGTGTTTGACCGCATACGCTTCGAGGCAAGCGCGCGCTGGCGGTGTGGCGGCTGTGCGCATGGCGGCTGTGCTCGGCAGCAGACTGCAGAGCAAGCTGCACTGGGCGCTGCTCCTGCAGCATGCTGCATTGACCCTGGCCGCACGCTCACCCCGCTGCCCCGCTGTGTGCGCCGCGGCTGCCCTGGCGTGCAGGTGGCCAAGGAGGTGGAGGACGGCGGCACGGTGGACAACGCCGCCGCCCTGAAGAGCGTGGTCAACCGTGCCATGTCTCTGGTCACCATCCGGTCGCTGCTGACGCTGGAGACTGTGATGGTGTGCTCCCTGATGATCGTCATCATGGGCGGCGCCTCGCTCCACTCTTTCTCCCTGGCGGTCACGTTCGGGCTGCTCAATGCAGTGAGTGGAGAACCTACCCCGAGGAATGTCGCATGCTTGCGCACTTGAGATAATCTTGGAAGGGATTGTGGGGACGGGTCCTTCCAGTCACGGGGCTCATCCATGCTCAGGTGGTTCTAAGCTCAGCGCCCCCCCCACCCCCCCCTCCCCCCACCCACAGACATACACGACCCTCCTGGTGTGCACTCCCTTCTGGTACCTGCTGCGCGTGCTGGTCATGCGCTGGGCAGGCAAACAGACCGCCAGCTCAAGCAGCCTGCCGCCGCCACAGCAGGCTCAGAATGGCAGCGCGAGGCACAAAGAGTTTTACGAATTGGGCGAATCCAAGGCGTCCTTCAAAACCACGAGCTCCTCTGAGAACAGCGGCGGCATCCTAGCGCCACACGCGTGAGCGACAGCGGCGGCATCCTGGAGCCACACGCGTGAGCGACAGCGGCCCGTTGCAGCGGCCGGCCCCAGCAGGCAGCGCCTGCCCAGGTCACGTGGCACACAAAAATAAAACATCTAGCCTGCCGTCTGTTCAGCCTCCACCACCTGGTAGGCGACAGCAGAATAGCCCTGATGCTGGCACTGACGCCATCCCTCTTACGCGAACGCTCTCGGGCAATATTACATGCCTTATGTTTATCCTGTTGCAACGTCTGTTGACGGTGTTTTCTTCGTGTTGAATATAGCTCCCATATAAAAGAGCCAGTTTCCAAACAGGTAGGCCGGCACCGCAGCGGCGGCAGCGGCGGCAGCGGCGGCAGGGCTGTGTGCCAGCATGGCAGCCCACAGATGCCCACAGCCCTCCCCCCTGCTTCTTGAGTGTGTTTAGCGACCGATGGACCTGAAATACAGGCTCCGTCCCCAGCCCCTCTCGGGTTTGGCCCGCTCCGGTTCCCAAAGGTGCTGCAAGATCTCCAGCTGGATGCCTGCTTTCTGCGGGCATCTCAGTGATTTGCATGTCTTTTCCTGAGCACATCGGACTTCGGGCATCACTTTTTCTGCATTTGGGCTGCTGGCTATCCTTCTGCAGGCGACCGTGACGAGGTGGGCGTGTCCCCGCAGGCATGCATGAAGGGCCATGCGAGATGCCATGTGCATGTCTCTCTGAACACCTTGAAATTGTCGATCCGACCGCAGATGGCTTCCCGGACCACGCTGGCGCTGTGCATGGCGGCCTGCCTGGCCCTCTCCGCCGCAGGTGCAGTTCCGCGGGTCGCGCCGCCGCCGCCGCTCAGCACAGCCTGAACAGCGACTGCTACCGGCCAGCCAGAAGCCAGCACAGCCTGAGCAGTATGCACTGGCGAACCCCCTGCGTCATGCATGCGCATGGCACAGTGATACACAGCCAGAACCTCCCAGCAAGCCACTGACTGCTGCCGCCCGCCACCCCTCCTCCGCCTGGCTGAGCTGCAGCTGCCCTCCCACCCTTCTCCCAGACGACCGCCATCCCCTTCCTCCAGGGCGTGACTTACTTCCTGGACCCCGTCACCTTCTCCTCTGGCGGTGCCGCCGTGGTCAATGGCACCACCTTCATCCGCGCCACTATCACCCCCGCGGGCCTCGTCACCGAGCAGGGTGCGAGCGCCGCCTCTCACGCCTGTGCAGTGCCACGCCGCCGCGGCCGCGAGAGCAGGGTTTGATGCCTCGCATAGCGAAAGTGGCAACCCTCGACAACACCTTTGCCCCTGACCCAGATATGAGCCAGTGGCCTTGCTGGGTAATGCGTCCCTGCAGGCACCTACACCAGCTGGCAGTGCGGCACCGAGCCTGGCTCATACGTCGCCCTCACCGCTGTGACCACCACAAACTCGGACAACACCAGTGAGCCAGCCGGCGCGGCTCTTGCAACCGCATCCTTCGCCCCATGGCCATCATAAACACACACCTTACCCACATTCACACTTCAACTCTGCCCACCTGCATTCTGCCCACCAGCATTCTGCCCCACCTGCCTGCCTGCAGCCACCACTGTCGAGAAGTGCGAGTACGGTGTGCTGGATATGACGATGAACACGGTGGCAATGTAAGCCTCCCGCAAGCCCTTGGGGCAGCTGGCAGCTCACTGCCCACTATGCTGCCCACTGTGGTGGGCGCCAGCCCCTGCAGAAACTAGCCCCAGGACGGTGCGCTGCTCCCTGTCGTGCCCGCCCTTGGGGCACCTGAGCGAGACTCCTCTGCCGTGCCGATGCAGGAACTCCACCGAGGGGGCTTGCCCCACCATGGTTGACCCTACTATGGCCAACACCATTCTGTGAGCTGCGGCCATTCAGCTCTCTCAGCCCCTTCGCATGAACGCTGGGTCAGCGGCATCCCACCACTGACTGTCACCCTGCCCTGCTGCCTCTGCCGCCCATCACTCTTGCCCTGTGCAGGGACCAGGTGGCGGAGTCTGCCAACGTTTGCAATGCGACCGCGCTGGTTGCGCCTGACACTTCCACCGCGCCAACTGTGTGAGGCGCAAGCCCCGACACGCACTGCTGCAACTGCCTCCCCCTTCCCAAGTGTTTGCTTGGGTGCCATTGCACGCTGGCTAGACACCACCGATCTGCTACTGATTGCTGACTCGATTGAAACGCCCACTTGACTCTCTCTTGTGACTGGTTTTGCATGTAAAGGCCATCAGACAAGTGCTGGAAAAATGGGGCGTGATGGGAAACAGGGTGGCGGGGACAGAGCGATGGGGGGATCCTAATAATAGAGGGATTTGAAGTTGAGGTGGCGTCGCCGCAGCGAGGCGATGGTGTACTCGAAAGCCTTGCCGCCAGCCGCCGGCTCCCAGTGGAAGGCGTCTCGGTACCGCACCAGCCCCTGCACCAGCCGCTGGTACTGCTGGTCGGTGATGCTGCGCAGGATGCGCGGCAGGTCTGGCAGGTGCCCGTTGTTCAGCCGCAGGCTGAAGGTCTCGTATGGCAGCAAGTCCTCCAGCGGCTGAGCCACACGTTCCTGAATGACCAGCGGCACGCTGCCGGAGAACACGCATGTCAGCAGCCGCATGCCTGCACGTGACAGCATGGAGCACGCAGCCGAGATGAATTGAGCCAGCATGCATGGCAGGTGGTTGCTGATGCCCCAAAGGAAACATCTGCTCCCCCACACACTCGTCTAGTCAGATGCTGAACATGTGTCACCCTCCCTAGTGGCAGCAACACAACATACCAAATCCGTAGCCAAAGACCGCTGGGCAAAACTTGGAGGCCCGCAGCCGTTTCACATAGTCGCCCAGCCCTGTATCGCCCTCGGTCTCAAACTGCAGCACACGGCGTCAAGGCGGGGACTGGGGCTCAGACCACGACAGGCCGTGCCGAGGCGGCAGCAAATCAAGGACAGCAACGGTGAGGGCTACGCTGTATGAGGTCATAATAGAACACACTCAGAGCTGCAATGCTCTTTTCTCACAATTATCTCTGGGTCATTCCAGCGTTTGACCAGCTCTCGTAACAGTTGCCGCGTGTTGCCGCTGCAAGGGCTCAGCAGACCAGCAGCCGCAGTCAGTCGCACACTGGCTGCCACGCCTGTGCGCACGGCGGCATACCAGCAGCTTGCGCTGGCAATCTTCCTGTCCTGCCAAAGCCAAAAAGCTGCTACAGCAGAAGCCTCACCTGTATTCTGAGTCGTTGCTCACGGCTCCACTGAAGAAGAACAGCCTGCAGCGCGGACGCAGGGTGGGCGCCACAAGGGCTCGTGAGCACCTGGACAACGGCACGGTGATGTGGAAAGGGTGCTGTGCACCATGCTGGCAGGACCCAGGGAGGTGCTGCAGAGGGACTCACGAGGTCTTGGCCGCAATGATGTCCTCCACGCTGAGCTTGCGGGAAACCTCCATGAGCTCCCGCGCCATGTCGTCAAACGGCGGGGCCACCACATCACGCAGCGGGTTGTAACATGCGTTCTCTGCAGCAGGCAGCCGCATGCGGGCACAGGCGCAAAGGGCTTACACATTGCAACAGGCCTGGAGGGCGGCATGCCTGGCCAAGCAGACCCTGCAGCCACCTGCCGCACTCTGGCGCACGGCAGGTGGCCAGGGCGCGCAGCGCACCCAGCTGGCTCACCTGGGTTGGTCGCTGCGCCGGGGCCCCAGCCAACAGAAATGTTTATGGTGTTCAGGCCGAAATGCGTGAGCTTGATGGCCGCCTCTGTGCGGCCGGTGAGCGCACAGGCGCCGCGGTCGTTTGTGAGCCACTGCGCGGTGGGGGGGCAGGCACGGTGAGGGGGCAGGCAGCAACATGCTGAGCGAGGCAGAGAGAGGAAAAGACGCAGAGGCAGCAGGTAGCAGGGAGCGGACAGCACCAGGAGGCAGAAGCAGACAGGTGCAGGCAAGGGCGATGGAGCAGCGCAGCAGCAGGCAGTCAGCAAGCAGGCATCGTCAGGCAGCGCCTCACAAAGATGTGGTCCCTGCCCTGGCTGCGGTTCCAGTACGGGTAGTGCGAGGCAATGTGATCAGCCACCAGGTCCAAGTGCACTGCATTAAGCGCGTTGCCTGCCAGCAGGCGCCAGGAGCCACAGCAGCGGCGGTAGGGCCCAGAAGGCAGGCAGCTGTGTGCAGCGCAGACCAGGCGCTTGCTTGGTGTCTCACAAGCAAAACCAGGGGCAACAGGGCAGGCTGGCTGACGGGCTGGCTGCCAGTGCCGCTTGGGGCCCACCTCCGTAGCTCCAGCTCAGGGCGGGCACAAAGAAGAGGTTGGCCTCCGAGGGGTCCTCAGTGCGCACAGGGCTCATCAGCAGCTGCTCAATGAACTGCACACAAGGCACGCAGGCGCAGGCTACACGTTGAGTAGCCTCAGGCGCACCCCGCGCAGCGCGAGAAGCATGGGGCTGTGGCAGCAGCCCCCCCACACCTTGTGGTGAGCCAAGTGGATATGGTCTTCCTCTGGGCCGCTGGCGAGGTCAAGGTCATAAGCCAGCTGCGCGCTCAGCTCGTACCTGCACCAAATTGCCACACATTCTGTGTTGTGGCGGAGTGCGAGTGCAGTGCTGCGCAGAAAAGTGATTGGCCAGGCAGGCAGGAAGGCAGCAGCCGCATACATGTAGATTTTGAAGTTGACGGGGCTGGGGCGGGAGTGGTTGGCAGGGTACACCTTGCTCCTGGAGCAGCCCAGGCTGAAGTAGGGCGGCTGGCAGTGACAGAAAGCATCTTGGCACTTGCCGCGGCCTGCAGCGTGCAGGAAATGTCGAGTAAGAAGCCAAGGATGGTGTGCATGAGCGATAAAGCAGGCGCAAGTGGCGCTGTCAGCTGGCAGGGACAAGAGAGCTCACCGCTGCACTGGAGGAAGCAGCGGTTCTCCTCCACCTCGCATTTTTTCCCCTGCATAAGCAGAGCCAGCTCAACCAACTGGGCCCTCCTCCTCTGCCATGGTTTTCACAGCAGCATAGCAGCATCCAGTCAAATCCACCCAGGCAGCGCACAGCCGCAGCAACGACCAGCAGCCGCTTCAGGCCCATGCAACCACTCACGCTGTATCCTCGGAAGCAGGTGCAGCGCGGTTTGCCCCCCTCCACCTTGGAGCATTGGCCGCGCATGTTGCACTTTTGGGGGCATCGTGACAACGGCAGCGCCTCTTGGGTGCCGCCCAAAAACACGAGCACAGCGCTGCATAGAAAAGGCAGCGGCAAGGGGAACATGAGCCAGCAGTTGTCCTGGGAGGGTGCATTGGGGCAGCCGCTCTGTCAAGCAGATGCCGCCAGAGCAGGCAGTTGGCACGGCCCAAGGGCCCCGCGGCGCCGCCACTCTTGCCTGCGGTCAACCTCCTTGGCGCCTGGTTTTGAGCTTTCGTAGTACTTGACGCCCGTCTCCTTCTCTTCTGGGAGCACAGAGTACTGCACAAGAACACAAGGCCATCAAAGGCTTCGCCGTATGCTGCTGCTGCTGTGTACGCTGCCAGGCCTGCACAGACCTTTGCAGGCGGCCCGACCCCCTGATGCCACACGCTCCTCACTTGCCTGCTGGTCTGGCGGGACACCCTCCCGCTCGTAGCAGCCCAGGGGGTCGTCCTCACCAATCTGCCAGTGGCAGACCGCGGCGCCAGTAGAATTGGTGGGGCAGCCGTACACGCGGCACCGCCGCACGCACTCACAGCTCTGAGGATGCGAGAAATCGCAGCGCGCTGCAGCACAGCAACAGGAACACACAGAGGATGAGTGGCCTGGGCTGCATTGCCGCAGGGCGTGCATCTGGCCAGCCGGCAAGCGCATGACAGCAGACAAGAGGGCTCAGCCCACACCTGGCAGGTCAGGGGCGAACCGGCATGGCGCTAGCAGGTCTATCTCACAGCCCTCGCCTGTTCGCCCAAACGGGCACCTGCAAACCATCGCAGGCGGGCGAGCGGCAACCGGTCGGCACAGCGGCGCCCACCAGGCGGCGGCTGCCAGTGCGCAAGTTTGCCATCATCTCACATGCACTGTCCATTCTCCCCGCAGTTCCTGCAAGCGTGGACAGCAGCAAAAACCCAACTTTTGTCACATACTGTGCCGTGACGGGTGGCTGGCTGCGCCCCCGCCTGCTGCAGGCATCGTGCAGACTCACCCATATTTGGTGCACTCTGCGTGACAGCTAGGGGGGCCAGGGCCGTCCACTGCAAGTGCAATCGCTGCAGAGAGCAGCAGCAGCGCACAAACCGGGCTATACGGCCGCATAGTCCATCTACAAATCGGTGTGAGGCCTCTAGAAGGGCTTGGGGAAACGTACTGCTCACCTGCCCGGTACATGTTCAAGGCCCTTGATTCTCTGATTCCTCCCCCTATTCACGAATGTTTGTAAACGGACCTTCCAGGTGTACTACACATCTCCCTGCGCTTTGCGACACCAGAAGCTGTGTCTTGCAGCCAGTCCGCAGGCGGCCTGCACGGTGCACCATTTTGCATCCGGGGCAGGTAAGCAGCAATGCAGCAGCAATAACCGCTCCAGGCGCCGCCAGCAGGGTCGCAGCTCGCAGAGTCAACTTGACACCTTGATGCATCATGCATCATGCACCATGATGGCTGCCGCCGCCGACACCGTGGGTGCAGGCATATCCCTCCCCTGCAAACGCCAATGTCCCTGCTGGAAGTGAAGGCGGCGACTGGCGGCAGCCCGCCGCCGACGTCCCCGTTGCTGTCTCTGCCGTGGCTGCTCTGCATGGTCCTGGCGATGGCTGTCGCCTACCAACAAGTCGCCCACGGCGGCAGCACTGCCAGCTGTTCCATGCGCATTCAGCAGCCTCCATTTGATGGGGCAGACCGGCAGCATGCGGGCGCACCCTGCCAGGTGCATCAGCTGGTAGGTCTCTACTCTTCCTTGGGCGGCGACAGGATGCGGGCGGCGAGGGAGGTGCTGAGGCGGTGGCGGCTCTTCTACCCGGAGGCACCCCTGTACATCATCAACGAAGGCAGGGATGCTGCCCTGGAGGCCGCGGCCCGCGAGCATGGCGCCCACCACGTGTATGCGCCAGCCACATCCGACACGCAGACCACCATCTTTTCCTCGGTCAAGGACGCGGCGCGCTGGATGCAACACTTGATCGACGCCGGCTCCATGGCCGACTGGGTGATTCTGCTGGAGGACGACGTGCACATCCTCAAGCCCATCTCCTTCCACACCCTGCGCCACGACATCAACGGCGACAACAAGGATGTGCGGCTGTCGGACGAGCTGGTCAAGGTGGGCAGGCAGTGGCCTGCTGGCAGCATCCCACTGGAGCCAGCCGCTGGGCAACGCTGGCAACTGCAAGCTGCCACTCAACGCCTGATGGCGGCCGCGTCAGCACAGCAGCCGCCTTCTAGTCTGCATGACCTCCTATTTTTTCCCTGCCATCTTGCCAATTTGGCCTTTCTGGCACCCTACAGGTGGTTGAGCGCGTGCGCGGCCAGCCGCTGGCAGACCGGCATTTTGGCGGCTGCGGCGGCGCCATTTTCCGCGGCTGCTTCCTGCGCCAGCTGGGCAGGTCGCACTGGCGCAAGTGGGTGGCCCAGCTGCTGGCCGCTGCCGATGGCGTCATCATCTCTGACCAAATGGTCACTAGTCTGATGCACTGCATCAACGGCACCATCGGCCAGTACCCCGGCTTCTCCGAGACCTGGCACCAGGCACGCCTGCCGAGGCGGGCCACGCTTTGAAGGGGACAGCGGCCCTGCGCTGCCATGCGGGTTGAGGCAGCTCAGTCAGCAGAGGTGTAGCACTGGTGGATGCTTACTCCATGCATGTCCTCGTGACTGGCATCGATTCCCTATCCGCCGTATCGCTTCTCTTCCTCGCAGGACTACGAGGCACGCAGGGCGGCGGGCAGCATCGAGGTGGTCCACAAGGAGAAGAGCTTCTATGAGGATGAAGCAGAGTTGGAGAAGTTCATTGAGGAGGCACAATTGGAGTGCGATGCAGAAACGGGGGAGTGCCGTCTGGTGGAGAGCGGAATAGCGTGAGCGCCATGATGGCGTCTGACCCGTGCAACAGAATTTGAGCAAAACAGCAGAACAGCAGTGGCTCTCCTGGTGTTGCAGTATGGTGCCGAAATGCATCTGCTGTGGGGAACGAGGGAAGAGGGGGGTCTAACTTCAGAGGAGGCTGAGGCGGGCTGCCGCGCAAGGCAGCATGCTGGGGTGGGCGCAGCGCGTGTGTTACACATGAGATGCTGCTCAGCACGGAGCGTGCAGAGATGCTGGCATGCCAAGCAGATGCTTGCGAGGGCTTCCCACATCGCAGAATTACTACGTCTCTCAATCGGCTCCGGCATGAAGACACGGACCGGTATGAGAGGGACTGTCTGGGCTTTGGTGGTGGCCTGCGTGGCCTTTCAGGCACTGAGGCTGAGGACACAGCGGGCGCCGCGATTTGAGCAAGTTGATGAAGATCTGTTTAGGCGAGCAGTGAGAGATTGGACGGAGGGGCCTGTACTGCCGCCGCCGCCGCTCGCTGCCCGCTGCCGCCACTCACCTCGCTCCCGCATTGCCCCGCTGCAGCCTCACCCAGTGGTGGCAGCCCATTCCAGGCCTGCTGTCCATCCCCATCTCGGTGTTTCTTGTGCACCAGGAGGGCAAGTGGGCGCTGGTGGATGCGGGGGTGCTGGGCACGCCTCGCCACCCTCACGCTCAGCAGCTGCTGGCGGCGCTCCATGAGACCATCCCAGCGGCAGAACAACTGGCAGCAATCATTGGTGGGTACAGTTCAAACGCTGTTGAATTGCGCTGCTGTGCAGCGTAGTTATTGGCAGGACCACCACACAGACATGCCGCAAGCAGACTCCCTCTCGCAGGGCTGGCAGCCACGGCAGAGCAGCTCGGCTGCCCATCGCCTGCTGCTTGAAAGCATGCCCTTGGTGCCACACGCTCAGGGCTACCTGACATTGGCTGCACTCTGTTTCGCTGGCCTGCACGCACGCCTGCAGTATCTCACCACCACCCTGACCATGTGGGCGCGCTGCCGCTGCTGCTGGGAGCCTACCCAGAGGCCAGGGTGGTGTTCCACGAGTATGAGGCGCCCTTCCTTGTGGGTAGCCAACACTTTGTGAGGCCAGGGAGCCTGGCAGCCCGCGTGCTGCGCTGGGCCGGCCTCCTGGGCGAGCAACCTGTCAAGGCAAGCAGCAGCTTGCTGGGCGGCAAGGGCGGGGAGGCGGGGTGCGGGAGTGCCTGGTAATGCTTGATCATGATGGGCAACGCTGCTTGCCGAAGGCTGAGCAGTGCATGCTGTCGTCTATGCAGCAGGTGCAGTTGTGTGGCAACCAGCAGCCAGCCAGCCTCCCCCTCCCTCCATCCTTTGTGCAGGTGCCCGCTGCTCGGGCAGTTGTTCTGGAGGAGCCGCTGCTCGAGCTTAGCCAGATTGGATTTGATGAACTCACCTACATCATCAGCTTTGGCCACTCCCCTGGGCACATCAGCCTGCTGCACAGCCCCTCCAGCACGGTGCTGGCAGGAGACGCGCTCTCCTTCGTCAAGCCTTCGCTGCGCCTCAACAGCCCGGCGGATGCCAATGACACGCGGGTGAGCCGTGCTGGCAACTGGCAGCAGGACAGGTGGCGCTGGGCCTGGGCAAGCTGCGACGGGGACCTGCTGTGTGATGCACCGCTCTGGCCTGCCATGCAGGTGGTGGGCACCTGGAGGGTGTCGCCATCCTTGCCGGGACTCACGCTGCGGGCATGGCCGCACGTCTTGTGCGTCGGCTCCAGGTACAGCTCACGACACTTCCGCTGCTGGGCAGTGTAGTGAACCTGAGGCAGGGAACAGATGTTGTGACCCGAGAGCTTGTATGCTCTCCCACACCGTCCTGCAGCTGCAATCAAGCAAATGCGACGACATCTCTGTGCATGCTGGCAGACTGGATGCAATACGACCGCCTGATCGCATCCCACGACTGGGCAGCTGGGAGAGGAGGCGGCGGCGGCTGGACCAAGGCATGTGTGGCATGCATAGCTGTGCTGCCCGCCCGGAGATCTTTGCGCCGCGGGCATTTCCAGTCACCGCTCCGATTTTATGAGCTGTTCCCTGTTTTCCTTAAGGCTGCAGGGCGATATGCAGGCGCTGTCAGCCTCCATGCCAGGCTGCGTACAGCTGGCCAAAGAGGCGGCCGAGTCGGCAATGGGGCAGGCAGCGGTGGATGCAGGCGTGGCGGTTGGGGAGGATGAGGAGGACGACGAGTACGAGTGACAGAGCTTCAGAAGAAGGATTTATAACTGTGAAAGGCTCAGCTCGAGTGCTGGTGGATGGGGGGCTGATCGGACCCAAACGCCCCGCCAGCGGTGTGCCTGCCCATGTAGTGCCCCACCAAATGTACGTACTGCAGCATCTCCCAAGCACAATTCTGCCCAGTCCTGAGTACTTCCATTATGTTGATCAATCATGTAAATTGAACAACTGCACGTTGGCCGGGGGGACGCAGCCGCGGCGGGAGCAAGCAGCCGCACCCGCCTATGCAGGTCCCTGTGCGGGTCGCTGTAGCGCTCTGCGCGGCCTTGCTCACCCTGATGGAGCTGTGGCGACAGTCGTCCCATCGGTGGGTGGCTCTCCCGCCTCTCTCGTGCCCCAAGCACCCTCCGGCATGGCTCAATTCGCCCCGTCGGTCGGCTTCTGCCCCTGTGCACGTTACTGAATCGATTATTGTGCCTCTGTGCACATGCACGCACTACTGCAAGTCTCAACCCTGCCACTCACCTCGCCGCCGCTTCCGCCGCTGTCCGCCGCCACTCTCTGGTCCTGCTCCGCCTGCAGGAACGCTGCGTCAGCGCTCCAGGTTGTGGGATCACGTTGTGCGGCGCCCAGAGGACGTGCAGGAAAATATGCACAGCTGTCTCGTGGGGATCAAGGTGCGGCAGCAGCTTCGACTCGCCGCCATGCCCAAACTCATCCAGTCGCAGCGTCTGCCTTCCTTCCCGTCCACGCCCTCCGTCATGCATCTCATCTGCGCTGCTCCGCAGGACCCCCTTGGCCAGGCACTATGAAGATGGAGCACCCCAGTCGGGCCTCGTTTGACCGGGTGCAGGTAAGGTAGGCAGCAGGCAGGTAGCAGCCTAATGCCTGCCTGGCTGCAACTTCCACCCGGCTGGAGCATAGCACAGTGTGTGTTGCCCTGGTTTACAGCCGTTGTCGCACCCTGGTGCGGCTGCAGGCCGACCCCTCTCTGCCTGAGAAGGACGCCGCACTGCGAGCAGAGTTTGAGGCGGCACCCTGGCTGCTGCCACCGCGCACCCCGGTGCTCGAGTATGCGGGAGTGCACGAGCTGGACAGGCTGCTGGAGCTACGGGCCAGGCCCATCGGCGCGCACCCAAAGACCGTCACGCTGCTCACCTTTTCAAGGCGCCTGGCTGTCATGATGCAGAACTGCAGTGCGTTGGGCAGCCAGGCGCATGCATGCGCATCCAGCGGCTCGCCAGCCATGCATGCCCAGGGACTCCCGTGCTGGACACGCCAGGCGGCAACACTCCTGATCCCCAACCCCCCGCGCACCCTGCGGCTGCCTTGCTGCCCTTGCTGGCCGCAGTCTACTCCATGGTCAAGTTTGGCGGCGTGCGCAACTACATAGTCGCCGCCTGGGACCCCGGAGACCTGGCGGCCTGCGCCGACCTCAACCTGCCCTGCGCCGACGTGGCCGCCTTCCTGCCTGAGCCCATGGACAGGTCGAGGGATGCAGGCCTGACCGGGTCCCATGATTATCTGGTAGGCCTCGCTGGCTGCCGTGCTGCTGGCTGGTTGGGGTTGCGGCGGCGTGGTGCTTTCTGAGTGTGGGTTCACTCCAGAGAGCATGGGTGCCAGCCGGCAGCTGACCGCGGAGCTCCCTGCTGCAGGTCATTTGCTGGCTGCGCCCCATTCTCCTGGCGCATCTGCTGCAGACAGGCCACGCCGTGCTTTCCACGGGTGCTGCTTGCGCCGCGCTCCCCGCCGCTCCCGTGCACTGCCACGCCCCTCCTTGGCATGCCACTAACCAGTGCTTTGGCAGCAGGCACGGCAGCGCCGCTCGGCTCACAGCCTCGCTCCTGATTGCCTGCTGCAGACAGCGACGTGGTATACATGGTCAAGCCAGTATGGGCGAGCTACCTGCGGTTTGTGGAGGAGGCCGGCGCCGATGCCGCCTTCCAGGCGGAGGGTGGCATCTTCAATGGCGGCAACTACGTGATGCTGCCCACTCCCGCCAGCATCGCCTTTGCCAGGCGCTGGGCGGCCATGGCGCCTCGCATGCTGCGGGAGCGCAACCACGACCAGGATGGGCTGGCATACATGGCACGGTCGGCGTGGGCGGCCTGCGAGGCGCGGGGCGAGTGCCACGCGGCGCGCGCCAATGTGAGCTTGGCAACTGCTGGGCTGCGCTGCTGGGGAGCATGGCGGAGGGGACGCTGCCGCTGTCGACCCGGCTCAGCTGCTGCTGCCGCCCGCCACGCGCGCAGATCACCAGCAGCGGTGCCAGGGGCGGGCCCATCCTCATCCGCGCCTTCCTGCCCAGCTTCTTTGCTTACCTGGACGAGTTCTGCGGCCTGGCTGCCGGGCTGGAGGTGCCCCTGATAGACCCTTGCGACTGGGCTGGTGAGGCCGGGGGGGCCTCCCTCCTGCCATGTGATCCTGCTCCTGCCACCCGCCCCGGCTCATGCAGCCCTGCCGCTCCCTGCCGCGCCCTGCCGATCCCTGCCTGCGTGCAGTCATGTTCCTGCACCCCGTCTGCACAGACCATGCCGGCAAGCTGGCCCTGTTTAGGCGCCAGGGCTTCTGGTTCATAGACGACGGCAAGGCCTCGGGCGGGAAGGAGGGGCTCTGCGCCAACACCACCGGCGCCAGCCACGTGCAAGCGTGCCTCCCGCGGCGGTGGCGCGTGCCTAGCACAGAGCTGCCCCTGTACAGCTGCCCAGAGTACAGCTTAGGGCTGACGCGCGTGCGGCAGACGGCTTCGCCTGCCGCCGGGTGAGGCGGAGCTGCGTGCTGGCTCCTCGCCCACGCTCCGTGCGCCATACTCACCAGTGTGTGGGGCCTGCATGCAGGGCCTGGCTGCGCGTGGGACCTGCGGCGCGCCCAGCGCCCCCGCCGCCGCCCACCTTTGCGTCCGCCCACACTCTGCACGCCATCACATTTGTGACCCGGGAATACCTGGCAGACCCCACCGTGCTGCGCATGTGGCGGGTGGCCAGCAAGCTGGGCACCCAAGTGCAGCCCCTGGTGCTGGACAGCCTGCAGGCGGGCGAGTTCTCCCAGGTTGCCTGGGGCATGCGGCTCAAGGCGCTGCGCGACTTTGCTGCCCGCCTGACCAGGCGCGACATCGTGCTGATGGCGGACGCCAGGGATGCCCTCATCGGGGCCTCCCCCGAGGCGCTCCTCGACACATACAACGACACGGTGGGCGGGCAGCGGCTGGTGCTGTTTGGGGCCGAGCCCCATTGCTGGCAGCACGACCTGTGCCCCCCGGAGGTGGTGGAGGGCTACCCGGAGACCGGCACGCCCTATCGCTTCCTCAACGCCGGCACCGTGATGGGGCCCGCCGACGTCATTCGCCGCCTGCTAGATGCCAGCATCGACTGGGCCGCCGACACCGCCCACCGCCAGCCCGGCTTCCACGACCAGGGCTTCCTGCACGGCCTGCTCAAGGCCGGCCCGCAGCGGCGCCTCATGGCGGTGGACAGCCGCTGCCGCGTCTTCTGCGCCTTCTTCAGCCGCCAGCACGACCTGGCGTGCACCAGGCGCGGGTGGCTCAACACCTACACCGGCACGTACCCGCTCATCCTGCACGGCAGCGGCTTCCTGGCGGAGTTCGTGGTGGGCACGGTGCTGCCCACCTACGAGCGGCTGAGGCCTGGTTCACGTACCTTCCAGTGTGGGAGCAGCAGTAGGCGCAGCAAACGACCGCAGCGTGAGCCAGGTGGGTGCAGGAGGCGGGGGCAGCTGCCGCTGCTGCGCGTGGGCCCTGCTGGCCAGATGCCGCCCTGCGGCTGGCCATGAGCCTGCGCTTCTCACCCCAAACCTGCTGCAGGGTGAATGTGTGGGTGAGGCTGCCTGTGTAAGAAATGCTGCACTCCTGAGGGTCAGTCTGCAGAGAGCCAGCGAGGCGGCGCCACTGGATACAAAAGCGGTGCGTACCGCTTTGGTCTCCCAGCTGGCAGCCGTTTGCCATCGCCAGCTGGCCCCCCTGTTCCTCCATCGCCCTGGTGATGCTCAGTGTCCCACAAAGCAACGCAATTCGCCGAGTGGGGGTGAGGGGCAACAAGCGAGCACATGCACGGGGTGCGTGCAAACTCAAAGAGGGAACATACATGCAATTGCCTCTGATCGGGTTCGACCCCGATTGAAGGCCGGCCGCAATTGCTTGCAAGCGTCAAGTTTTTTCGGCCCCCCTTGAAATTCCCTTCCGGCCGCGGCACATGCCCGTGCAGGCAGATGCTCAAAGCATTGTGCTCTCAATTTGTTGCCGCATGCGCTGTGCGCTGTCTGATCACACTTGCCTGAGCAGGCGGAGCTACAGGAGGCAAGAGTTTTCGGTGTGATGCCACAACTCCACATGCCGGTTGTAGCGGCGCTGCTGTGGTGCTTTCTGGCGTTAGGTGAGCGCTGGATACAAGGAAACCGCGTGGATGTCGCAGCGGGTTGGTTCAAAGCCCACCCACCCACCCACCTCCCAGCGAACCGCGTTTGTCGGACCCTCCCGCCACAGTCCAATTCGCAGCCCAATGCGTGCCGCGTGTTCTCCCAGCATGTTTACAAGCGGGCAGAGCGCAAGGGGACGCGCAGCCTTCAGCAGACACTTGCGCCCCATGCCGCTGCCGCCGCCAAACGCCTGCCGCCGCTGCCGCCGCCTACTGCCTGCCGCTGCTGCCATCCTGCTGCGGTCAACCGCGACACTGGTTCAATTGGTGCATTTTGCTTGACAACCATGCTCATATCTTGCAGGTGCCTTGCCTGGAACAGTGGTCATAGCTGCAGCAGCGGTGGGTAGCCGCCAGCTGCCCGCGCGCGCCCCTGCCTGCCTGCTGTCATGCCACTGGCAAGTCGCATGCATGGAGGAACTATGACATGGTCCTTCGTGGTTCATCTGTTTGCAGCCACAAGGAGTCGAACTGCAGTTGGCATTTAAGCTGCAAGGTGAGCGTTTCTGTGGCGCTGGCACAGCAGCGCACAACTGCAAAAAATACTTTGGGGGATGCTGCACCTGGCTGCACAGGGTGGATCAGCTGCAGCTGCCAGACAGTGTACAGCAACACCAACCAATGCTGCCCGCCCACAAAGGCAGTACACTGACCCCGCCGGCTCGGTCCATTTGGCTGCCTACCTGCAGGTGGCCCCGCCCTAGCAAACAGCCGGCCAGGGCTGCAGGCAGCAGTGCGGCAGTTTGTGGCCCAGATCTCGGGAGTCGCGGCCCCTGCCGTGACGTGGCTGGGGTCTGCCAACGGCACGCCTGGGGCAGCGTGTGCGTCCCTGGAGGGCGCCTGGGTGTCTGCAAGGATACGCGTCGCCACCCAGAATGCCGCTGCGGTGAGCGGCTGAGGGCTGCATGCCACAGCCCAGCATGCAGCCAGCAAGGAGGAAAGCATGCCGTGCATGTGGTTTTGGGCTGCCGACGTCTTCCCTCACTTTGTGGCGTTTGGTCCGCAGGTGAAAACAAGCATAGAGAGTGCCCTGCAAAGCGGCGCAGCAGCAGCAGTGGTGAGCTGGAATGGACTGCTGCTGGTGCTGGTGGTGCGGTGCCAGTCTGGGTCGGCTGGCATTGGCATCTTTAGGCATGGCACTCTGCTTGCTATCAGCAACCAAGTTTGTGGGTTTTGGCACTTCTCTGTCCTGGTGCAGTGGGCAAGCACTGTGGGGGCGCTACCCGCTCCCGCAGGGGAGGCCTGCTTTGGTCCGGCTATCACGACAGTCAGCCTCCTGCCAGGTGAGCCTGCCTGCCCGCGCTTGCTTGCCTGAATGTATCGCTCAATTGTGTCTGTCTGATTGCGGCAGGCTGCCCCATCCAGCGCTCCCTTTAACTCTGTGCAGGCAGTTTCCCCAAGCCGCCACGGCCTCCGCCGAAAAGCAAGCCGCCGCCCCGCCCACCGCCCAAGCGCCCACCACCCAAGCGCCCACCGCCCAAACGGCCTCCGCCTCGGCCTGTGAAAAGTAGACCGCCGCCACGGCCCCGCCCGCCGCCCAAGCGCCCACCGCCTCGCCCTATCAAAAGCAAGCCGCTGCCACGGCCCCGTCCGCCGCCCAAGCGCCCACCGCCCAAACGGCCTCCGCCACGGCCCGTGAAAAGCAGACCGCCCCCAAGGCCGCACCCCCCGCCTAGACGACCACCGCCTCGCCCTGTCAAAAGCAAGCCGCCGCCACGGCCCCAGCCACCACATCGACCGCCACCGAGACCTCGTGGCAATGCGCAGCCTGCTGCGGTGTTGCCCTCCTCCCAGCTGCCCTCCAACCAGCCCGCCATCCAGCCTGGTCCCGCCAGCACTACATGGGCGGGCTCTGTTGCCGGCGTCGCTGCCGCAGGTGCGTGCTGCTTTCATCGACACCAACCCACATGTGGCTGATCAGGCCGGACAAGCTTCGCTAGCATTCTGCGGCAGCAGCATCAAGCCTGCCTTGCTGGAAGGACTCTTTGTTGCAGGTGTGACGAGCACACTTGCAGACGATCAAGATGGCAGCCCGCCTCCACCCTTCCTTGATCCTTCCACTCCGCTGCCACCAGCGCCACCTCCACAGCCCCCGTCGCCGCCACCTCCCTCTCCACCGCAGCCACCCTCGCCACCACCGCCCTCTCCCTCGCCGCCGCTGCCGCCTCTGCCTCCGCCGTCCCCGCCACCTCCCTCACCACCACCGCCCTCTCCGCCCTCTCCACCTCCGCCATATCCGGTTTATTTCGACACTTATTTTCCTCCGCCACCACCACCCCCTAGCCCCAGCCCACCACCACCACCTCCCAGCCCAAGCCCACCACAAACTCCCAGCCCCACCCAAGACTTGGCACCAAGCCCTTTGCCCTACCTCGGTCCCAGCATTCAGCCTTCTGAGCCATTAGAGTCCCCAGCGCTTGCCCCCTCCCCATCCTTCGCATCGGCGCCGTTGCCAGCGGCATCGTCGCCCTCGCCAGCAGCCGAGGGGCCATCATCAGCTTATGGACCACCTACAGCCAGCCCATACTCCTCCAGCCCATACGCCTCCTCTGCAGCTGGCACCTACACACCAGCCGGCGGCGGCAGCTACACGCCGACGGGAGGTGGTTCCTACTCCCCTACCACAGTCGGTTCCCCTTATTCTCCCGGCATTGCTGGCGGGCCAGCCGACAGCTCCCCCAATGCGCTTGCCCCCGGCATGGGAGACGGCGCGCCATCCAGCGGTGCCTTTGCGCCTGGCGGCGCATTCTCCCCACAAGGCGCCTTTGGTACGCCCGCGTGTACTTCTCGCTGCTGCTACCGCTGGTGCACCCTTCTATGCCTCAAGCTGCGCCAGCCAGCCTAGCATGCACCCCCCTATCCCATTCAATGTACTTATCTGCCTCCCCCTGCCTATGGTCCACGCTTCAGAATGAAGCACCGCGCCGGCCCCCTGGATCCCAGATGTGCATGGCAGAGTGAGTGGCTTTCGGCGGCAGCTGCTGCGCCGGCAGCTTCTGCCCTGCATGCTGCCTCGTGGCCTGCAGCAGGCATGTGCCGATGGCAGCCTCAGGCTGCCCACCATGGCGTGTGCCCTGCCCCTGCGCCCGCAGGCCCACCTGCCAGCTGTTTGTTGCAGACAGCGTGTGCTGCATGGAGTACGGCATCATCCAGCACGCCGCCGTCAGGCTGTGGATGGTGTGCAATGCGGACGTGTACTTGCCAGAGCCCAAGTGCCTCACGGGTGGGTGGGCTGGCGGTGGACTCCAGCGGGTGGGGCGCATGAAGGAGGTGCACGGGGCTCGGGCTGGTGGGCGCCACCCGCCAGCACCACGAGCCGCTGCCGGCTTGTCAGGATGCGTGGGATTCCAGCGGTTGCCGGCGTGCCCCGTGGGCTTCCTCCGCCTGCAGTCACCGACGCCGCCACCCAGCAGCCCCTGCCCCTGGCCGACCCCGCCGCACCCTCCGACCCGCTGCGCACCGTGAATGCCACGCTGGCGGATGCGCCTAACGCTCGGGCGGTGGAGATGCAGCTGGAGCTGCCGCTGGCATCCTACGCGTCGCCGCTGGCGGGCGCGGCAGCCCAGCTGCCAGTCACGATCGACCTGGAGCAGATGCGGTGCGGGGGAAGCCTGCACGTGTGTGCACGCATTGTGCTGGGAACACACGCGGGCTGGCAGGCTGGCTTGGCAGCGTGCTGTTGGCACGCTTTCACGTGTGTTTCTGTTGCGCCTCGCCCGGCCACCCCGCCCCGCAGGATGGCGTCGGCAGATGGCCTGTGCAGCCTGCGCCTGCGCACGCCGTGCGAGTGGGGGGGTGCCCTGTACGAGGCTGTGGTGGCGGTGGCGCCCATCCCGGTGCTGTCGGGTGAGTGAGCTGGGTGGGCAGGTGCCACGCTGCATGGCGCCAATGCTGTGCCAGCATGGCAGGCAGGGGCATGCACTGCTGCTGTGAGGAGCATCGCTGAGTGCAGGGTTGGCGGATGTCCCCTGCCGCCTGCAGTGCTGAGCGCCGATGAGGCGGCAGACGTTAGGGCCGCGCTGGGCGAGGATCCGGCTGCAGAGTTCAGATCGGCAACGGCCCCCGCCGCTGCGCCGCTCGCTGCCGAGGCCGCTGCGGCGGCCCCCGCCCCCTCTGCGGTCCAGCAGGGTAGGCGGCTGCTGCAGGGCGCCCGTGCTGGCAGGAAGCTGCGGCAGGAGCTGCTCACGCAGGATGGCGGCGCCATGGATCCCTTGGTGGCAGCAGGAGGCGTGGATCCTGCAGCAGACCTCACAGCCCAGGGTGGGTGGCTGTGGCTGTGGCTGCCTGCCGCGCCCAGCGCTGATACCGACTCTCTGCCGCCGCTGTGCGCTCCTTGCTGCGTTGGGGGCTTGGCAGCGTGCCCCCGCGGCAGCAGGTTGATGGGGGCTGCTGGGCTGGCCTCATCATGTACAGGCACGTCCATCACCACAGTTGGCGGCGAGCTCCCCATGCCTCAAGTCGACCCGAGTAAGTTGGCGGACGCAGGGCACGCCGCCGCTGCTGTGCCGACTCGAGTGTGCCGCTGGCCCAGCGGGCGGTTTGTTGGCTGGCCTGGGTGGCTGGCTATTGTGCGGTGCGTGCCTTTGTGCTCACTCTTGCTGAGCTTCCACCTCTCCTCCCGGCGCCTTGCTGCAGGCGCGCTGCCCGAGCTGACCGACGTGCTTTCCAATGCATACACTGGCGACTTCCTCACAGAGGGCTGGGCAATCAGGTGGGGTTTGGGGGGTAGGAGGGCGGGCAGGGTGCGTGCTGGGGGCATGGCACAGCTGTGCTCATGCGTTATTCATTAATGCAGCATGCCGGTCTGCCTCTGAAGCAGGCATCTCTGCTCAGATGTGCCTAAAGGCATGTGCAACCTGCTCTGCTGCTGCAGCTGGGTGCCCGCCAACACGACCACGGAGAGCTGCCACATGACCACCGCCCCTGAGCTGCCACAGGGCTTCTTAGTGGCAAGTCCAGGCTGCCGCGGGGGCAGCATTGCTTGCTGGGGCAGCCGTGTGCCCACGCTCTGCCGCTGCCACGCTATGTGGCAGCGGCCGCCGCGCCACGGGCTGTCGCTGCCACGCGAGAAGCGATCCCGTTCTGAGAATGTCTGGCCACCCTTTCTGCCCCTTTGTCGCATGCAGGGCGATTTTGAGGAGCTGGTTGGATATGAGGACGACTGCATCCCAGAGTCGCTGCCGGAGGTCGGCGGCGTGGGCCTGCAGCTCTAGTTCGTGCGGGGCGACATGATGACGCCTCCCTACTTTTCTGCTCAATTCTCGCTGCTCATTGCTCTATGATTTCTGCTGGATTCTGCCAAGCTGGAACACCACCGGGATGCGCAGCTGCCATTGTAACTGCACTCTCCGGCTGGTGTAGCGGCACCACCGTCGCGGCGTCCTGAACAGGCCTGATGCGCACCTATTCAACTTGCGACGGTGAGCGCCAGCTGGTCTTGTGCTTTGTAGCTTATCGCGGTGCACCCTGTCCTAACCGATCAAGCCATGGCTGTGTGATTGCGCTTCCTTGCAGGGGGTGGTCATGCATGGTGCTGGACAATGAGAAGGCCCTTCCTGGTGCTCGTCCTGTGCCAGGTGCGGAACTGCGGCATGCCGCCAGGCGCACCCCCATCCGGCAGTGCCGCCCCTCTCCCTGGAGCGCCATTCCTTTGCAAACCACTTCTTTCGGTCCAGTCTCGTTTCGGATGCGCAGCCGCCCCGCAAAACTGTGCTGCCAATCATGTCCTGGACAGTGCGTGCCCCTCCGGCACCGGCGGTCTAGCACAATTGCAGTTGCGTATCAGTTGGCTGTGGTTTGGTTGGAAACATGGACGATATGCCTGGGGGGTCCTACGTGGCTGCTGGACGGAAAAGCTTTGTGAAACCTTCGCTGGTTCTATCAATGACTCCCCAGAAGCGTTATTTGCCAAAAACACTCATCGCCCCCGTGTCCGCGCTCCCCAACCCTCCCAGTTCAAACACCCGCCCGTGTTTCAACCCGGAGACCTCCCCGGTGCCATGACGCGGCGTCCCTTGGCTGCACTAGTCCTGGCGTTGGTCGCAGCTGCCTGCACACGCCAGGCGGTGGCGGGTGAGAAGGGTGCAGTGCCCCGCGTCCTGCCCTCCTACGACACAGCCAGCAGCTGCGCAGCGCTCGGGCAACTGCCCATAGCCATCGCCACGGGGGCGGTCAGCTGGAAGGAGTAGGGGCTGGGCTGTTCCACCTTCTCTGACCGGCAGCCAGCGTCGACCTGGCGCAGCCGCCGCCGCGTCCGGCCCTGGCTAGGGCTAGGAATTCGGGGGTTGCACCAAACCGACCCCACGCAGCAGCAAGAGATGCAGGAAGCATGCCAGGCCATCCCTCATTTTCTCGGCCAGCACCTCTAAGAGCGTCTAGCCACTGACGGGTCCCGGACCGCACGCCGCCGCCCTGCGCGCAGAGACATGCCCCTATGCCCAGCCCTTCCTGGGCTGCGTGCTGAATGTGGGCTGGAAGCTGCCCAACCTCACCCAGGTCCTGATCAGCAAGAAGGCCACGCCGCTGATCACCGTGCCGCCGCTCAACGTGGTGGGCTACCCAGGCGACCCCAACCTGCTGGCCATCCTGCCGCTCAACGGCGCCGTGGACCTGTGAGCGGCGCGGCAGGCAGCCGGCAGGCAGCCCTCAGCTGCATGCTGCCGCTGACATGCTGCACCTGCAACAACTGCCAGCCACATGCGCGGCCCCTGGGCTGGCCACACCATCCCCCCCTGCGCTGCGATTTGGCTGCAGGCTGTTCAATAGCATCCCTCAAAGCACGCACAACTGCTTCGTGCCGGTTCTCCCTGGCCTTACGGTAAGCAAACGCGGCCAGGCCCCTCCTCGATTCTGCTAGCCAGCAGGCCTGCCTGCACTGGCCGGCTCGCGTGTGCACCATGCCCACATGCCCGCCTGCCTGTTTGGCAAACGTGACGCAGCAGGGTGTGCACACAGCGCAGGCCTCAGCCGCGGCTGCTTGTGACTTGGCTGGCATGTGCATGCAGGCCAAGCGGTGGGCTGCCGACCCCGACTCCCCTTACTATAGCTCCTTCAAGGCCTGCTCACGCGCGCCCTGGCCTGACGGCAGCGAGCACACGTTTGTGATGGGCGCCTGGGGCGAGTGAGTTGCGGGCAGGCAGCTCCCGCCAGCGGCATCTGCTGCCACAGCCGTGGCCGCGACAACTGCCTGGCTCGTGCAGACAGCTCCCCTGCTGGCGCTGGTGCCAGGTTGCGACACCTGCCTGCTCTCCAGCGCCGCTTCTGCCAACGCGCATGCGTGTGCCGTCCCTCCCCGCCCACGCAGCCTTTCGAAAATATCAAAGAAGAGGCTCCGCCAGGTGCCTGCTGTGGCCCAGTTCAAGAGAAAGTATGGCAAGATGGCGCCCAAGCTGGGGCTCTGCATGGGCGTCAACCCGTGTGGCATGGTGCGTACGGGCACTGTGTAGCTGGGCAGCTCCGCCGGAGATGCAGCGCTGCGGCTGCGTTGCCAGCACGCCTCCCACGCCTGCCTGCGCCGCCCCCCCCGTGCACATCTGCCTGCTGCTGCTGGGGCCGCCCCTCCCCTGCAGAACATCTTCATCGGGTTGGAGAGGTTTGAGCAGTATGCTACCATGAACGTGAGCCCCGGCAGCTGTCCCCTGGTGACACTCAACTGGCCAGGGGCATCGCGCATGCGGAGCGCCCCAGCCTGGCCGCCGCGCCGCTGCAACCCTGCTGCCATCCCCCTGCGCTGCAGTTTGACTTCAATAACGGCGCTAAGCTCAAGGTGTTTGTGAGGCCCGACTCGTACTACTGGTCCTGGGGCATGAGCATGCTGCCGCCCGCCTGGCGCGCCCCGGGCGCGCCGCCCATGGCGTGGGGCATCGACCCCCTGGTCAACGGCTCGCTAGGCAAGCCTCGCCATGCTGCCCCTGTGTGTCGTGCAGCGCTGCGCTGCGGGCGAGCAGCTGGGCTGTGCCCCACACGCAGCTGATCCTCACAGCATCGACCTGGGCCTCTCTGGGCCGCCCTCGCCTGCTGGCCGCCTGCCGCCGGCGCCTTGGCCTGCGCTCCTGCTCACGCGCCGACCCAGTCGCCCCGGGCCCGCAGGCTGGAGCTCCCCCATCCAGCAGCTGAGCGGCACCACCCTGACCGGCAGCGTGTATGTGGAGGGCCCGCTGCGCGGCGGCTCCGCCTCCAACAACCTGAAGATGTCCTTCATCACCTTTGAGCTTGGCAGCCAGAAGGCGTGGTGGGGCATGCTGCGCGACCTCACGCGGCGGGCGGTGTCCATGAAGCTCCACGCCATGCCCAACGTGCTGCTCTGGAACAAGGTCGCGCTGTCCTTCAGGTGGCCGGCGTGGCGCGCGCGCCCGCTGCCGGCGCTGCGGCTCGCGGCCGTGCCCGCGCTGGCGGCAAGGGCCAGCGCCACCCGTGCCGGAAGCCAGCAGGGCAGGCCTTGCACTTCGGGTCCACCTCCAGCCCTGGCCCGCACAGAAGCACATAAGCCCTCACGCCACCACCGCCGCCCCCTGCCCCTGCAGGGACTACGACAGGTACATCCACATCCGCGGCGCGCAGCTGACCGCCCGCACCTCTGACGGCTTCTTCTGGGCCTCCGCCTACCGCCAGAACATCCCCGCCTACAACCTGGCCCGCTTCATCACCCCGCTGGGCAACCTGCTGGCCAAGGTGTATGTGGGGGCCAAGACGGGCACCACCCACCGCATCACCTCCTTTGAGATGCACGGCCACGGGTCGTCCGGCGCGGCGGTGCGCCTCTGGTTCAAGCCCGGCAACTTCAAGCTGACGCCCGCGGTGCGCGTGGGGCGGGGGCGGGGCTTGGGCTGGCTGGCGCCGCCAGCTGGGCTGCCTGCATCCCCAGCTCTGCACCACGTGTTGGCATGCGGTTGCGGTGGTTCGGAGCAGCTGACGCCTGCATGCGTGCATCGCCGCTGGCCTCCCTTTGTGCTGCAGGCGCGCTTCATCGTCGGCATCCCCACCATCTGGACGGACTGGGCCGCCATCTTCCGGGTGCGCAGCTGCTGCTGTAGGGTGCCGCCTGCGCCCTCCCCAGAGTAGCTGCCCTGGCAGGCTGCCATGCCGGGCGCATGGATGCATGGTGGGTGGTATGAGTCGTGGCCATGGCTGAGGGCTGGGAGCTGCAACCTGCGCCGCCGCTGCACTTGCTGCTGCTGCAGGCACCCAAGGACTCCAACTTCTACAACTCGGTCACCCTCAGCCTGGGCGGCCGCCCCTACCAGATTGTGTTTTGGTGAGCTCGGAGCGCTGGGATGGCAGCTTGAAGCTGCGCACGCATGGCACAGGCAGCAAGCGGCCCGCGCCATGGTCCCATCTGTTCTCCCTGTGAGCCAGTGGTAGGCGCGCGACCCACAACTGACCCCTTGCCCTGCCTCTTGCTCTCCCCCCCGCTGCCCCTTCACAGCTCGCGGGCATCCGACTGCGCCAGCTCAGCGGGCTGCTGGACGCACTGCCACGACAAGCTGCGCGTGTGCGTGCCCAGGGACCCCGCGCCAGACGGCTGCCCCGGCACGCTGCGCATGGGTGCTGCCTCTGCAGCAACGGCTGCCGCGGTGGCAGCAGCAGCAGCGCAGTTGCCGGAGGTGCCAGCGTCGTCCCCCGACCCGCTGAGCGGGGAGGGGGAGGTCGCCATGGCGGTAGCAGAAGCCGGCAGGGAGTGCTCCTGGGACAACCCTTGCCCCAGGGGACGATGCGAGTCAGACTATCTGCAGGAGCGGTATGTCTGTGTGGACCCCTGACCTGATCCCTGACACCACCCCTCCGCCTGCTATGTCTGCTCCCTTGTCCTGCCGCCCTCCTGGCCCTGTGTGCGTGCTTGGCACGCGCCCTTGCCAAGCTATCTGTCACCTCCCATCGCTCCAGCTTGTCCCTCTTGCCTCACCGCTGGCAATGACAATGCCTCTCCCTTGCTCTATCTTGTTCATCAAGTCGCTTGCTTCTGCGCCTCTTCATGACATGATGACATCCTGCCCTGTCGTCAATCTCCTCGTCTTCCTGAGCAGCACCATTAATAGCCGCGTGTCGGTCAAGCTGTGCACCACCCAAGGCCATATTCTACATCTACCTCAACCAATCCCTTTCCTCGGTACTCAAACCCCAGCCACACTGCACGTTGCCGCTTGCCCTGCACCACACCACCACTACACAATCACCGCCGCCACCCAAACCCTATCAGCTAGCACCAAATCTGTCCCCTGTATAGTTGGCAGCCCACAATCAAAGCAGCCCTTGCATTCCAAAACTGCAACAGCCCCCCGCACAGTTGGGCTAGAAAGCGAGCCTCCTCTGGCGAAGTGCTGGTTGGAGCTCCGGCCCCGCCGCCTGCCTCTGCAGTAGCTGGCCTGTAGCTACTGCTGCCCCAGGAGGCGCCGCTGCCGCCGCTGCAGGAACCAGCCCCGGTAGGCCGCAAAGCTGCCCGCGGCGATGCTGCTGCGGATGGCTTTAAAGAATTGCAGGTAGTGGTGCGTGTTGTGCGCCTCCAGCAGCACCTGCAGCATGGGCTGGCGGCGGCGGAGGGGCAATGTTCGGCCGGGAAGAGAACAAGCGGACGGAGGAGGCGCCGGCTCCCAGCATTCCCAATTGGCTTGGGGCAAGAAGCAGCTCTTGCCTGCGCCGTCATCTCGTGCGTCTGCAGCAGGTGGTGCAGGTACGCCCGGCTGTGGCTGGCGCAGGTGAAGCAGGCGCAGCCGGGCACCATGGGCTGCCTGTCTGTCCGGTACGCCAGTGCCCACAGGTTCATCTTGCTGTCGTCCCCGCCGGCATCCGCCGCCGCGTCGGCAGCCTCGGCGGCGCCATCGCAGGCGCCGCCGCCACTCGCTGCCGCCGCGGGCGCACCTTGCTGCTGCTGCCCCAGCTGCTGCTGCTGCTGCTGGCCTGCCTGGGGCGCCAGCGGGAAGCACAGTGCGTATCCGCCGCCGGTGGCGTCTGCCAGGTATCCCATGTCCAGCAGGTCGATACCCTGGGATACCGCCTCCAGCACCTCCTCGGGCGTGCCCACGCCGGACAGCAGGCGGGGCGCCGCTGGAGGGAGCGCCGCCACCACCGACTCCACAATCTGCTGCCGCAGGGCGGGAGACTCGCCCGTGCCAAGCCCTGCCACCACATAGCCAGACACCCCGGGCTGGGCTGCCATCGCCTGCCGGCACACGTGTCAGGCAGCGGGCAGGCATGCAGGGGTGGTGAGGCCGGTGAGGCACAGCGCACGCTGCGACGCATCTCTGGTCACAGGCTTGCTGGCGGTGCCGCCTCACCTCGGCGCAGCGCTGCCGCTCCTGCACGTGCTGCCCGCCCTGCACCGCCGCAAACGCCGCTGCCCCCGCCAGCTCTGGCGCCGCTGCTGCTGCAGCCAGGCACTCGCGAAGCCAGGCTATCGAGCGGTCAACTGCCTTGGTCGCACGATCGCTCCTGCGGACGGCACAGACCCCAAGCGTGCTTGGGAGTGGGAGGCTCACTCAGCCTATGCCAGTCCATTCCGCAACCCCACCACCGCACCATCCCTGGCACACCACACACCCGCGACCGCCACACGCATCCACCCACCCAAAAGGCATCCACGCCCCGTGCCCCACCTGCTATCGCTGGGCACGTCATCTGACAGCGCCACCCAGACGTCGGGCGCCACCGCCGCCACCGCCTCCACGTATTGCCCGGGCGTGACGCGGGCCGAGCCCGTGTGCACAGTCACTGCGCCAGGTGGGTGTGAGGAGTGTTGCAGGATTGTTGCAGGAACGCGGGGTTTACTGTGGATCATCAATGCGAGCCGTTGTCACCAGCCAATGGCTGGCGCTTGGACACAGCCGCCACCTTCCCCCGGATTGCCAAGGTGCGGCTGTCGCTCCGCAAGTCTGCCGCACCGCTGCCGCGCCATGCCGCGCGGCAGCACCCACCTGAGGCCCACTCGTTGGTGGCCTGCCGCATGGCCCCGGCATACTCGTAGATGGCCGGGTCGCGGGCTGTGGCCACCAGCACATGGCCGCCATCCAGGGCCAGGAAGCGGCGGGCGCCGCCGCTGAAGCCGCGCAGCACCTCTGGTTTGGGCTGGGTCAGGCTGCAGGCCAGGCAGGGCCGGCGGCCGTGAGGGGAGGCTGACCTTGATGGGATAGGCAGGCAGACACTCAGCAGCCTGCTGGCTGAAGGGAACCAGCTGCGGCGGGCAGCCACCGGGCCGCCCGCTTGCCCCGTGCACTCACTACTGCAACACGTCCAGCTGCACGCCCTGCACATCCGGCTTCAGCTTCTCAAGCAGATCGGGGGTGAGGTTCAGCGGGGAGCCCCGGTGCGTGTAGAGGAGCAGCCCGGGTGTGTCGATGGTGCCGCCCGCAGTGCTCAGCGCCCCGCAGCGGGCCTGGCCCTCCGTGCTGCTCACAGTGAATGACATGGGCGCAGATTGCGTGCAAAGAGCCCGCTGACTGGAACTATGTGCAGCAGCATGCTGCGCCACGCTGCCGCCGCCGCCTGAGTTGCGAGCGTAGGTCGCCACAGCTGAAAGAGAGGGTTACAAGTGAATGAATGGGCCGACCGCCGCGTGATGTCAGGCCTGCTGCCACGGGAATGTGCTGCTCAACCCTGCTGCATGGCGGCCTGCTGCATGCGCGCCAGCACGCGGTGCCGGGCACTCTTGGCCATGTAGACCACATCAACCACGCTGCACCCCGGCAGCCAGCCTGGCGCGCCACCGCCACCAATGCTGGCCTCTGCGATGCTGGGGTGGTCTGTGGAGCTGCCAATGGCGCGGGCCCAGGGCGCCAGCAGCAGCGGCGGCGGCAGCGGCGCGACGCCCGCCACGGCTGGCGGCGCCGGCTCCAGGCGTGCCAGCCGGCTCAGCGTGGTCAGCGTGAGGCGCGCCGCCCCGGGAATGGTCACCAGGTCATCCATGGCAGCAACACCTGAGGTGGCGGCAGCAGGGAGGAAGGACTCTGGACGGCGGCTCTGCGCAACTGCCAGCCAGGAGGGAGGGTGCCGTCCAACGCACCCCACACCCCAAGCGTGCTTTGGAACAGAAGCGGTCCTTGTGCTGCATGCTTCAGGCATGCTGCTGCAGGGCTGCTGGCGACTCACCGCAGCTGTCGTCCACCAGCAGGCCCCGCAGCAGCGTGAGCGCCTCCTGCACCACGCGCAGGCGCTGCTGCCAGGCCGCCTGCTGCTGCAGCAGCGTGGCGCCGCCGCCGCCGCCGGCCGCCGCAGATGCCGAGGGCCACTGCGCGGGGCACAGCAGCATCAGGCTCGCGTCATCCCCTGGCAGCGCCGAGGCCGCCTCTGCCAGTTGCACCAGGCGTTGCGCCAGCATGCAGCCGGGCGCCCCGCAGGCATCATCCAGCAGCAGCGACACCAGGATGCCGTGCTGCCGCTGCTCCCGCAGCATGGCTACCAGTGCCATGGCGGCACGCGCCGCAGCCACGCCGCCGCCGCCGCCGCTGCCGCCCGCTGCCGTGCCGCCGTCTCCGTCGCTCGCTGGCGCCGACCCCGTGCTTCCAGCGGCAGCGGCGGCAACAGCAGCCCCGGCGCTGCCATCGCCAGAGGCGTGTGCGGGCGTGCCGCCATCCAGCACAAAACTCTCCAGCAGGCGCTCTGCGATGGCTGCCGCGCCGATCCAGGGGCCCGACCCCGCCTCGCCGCCCTCGCCCTCGTGCGGCCGCACATCGAGCTGCATCGGCTGCGCATCGCCGTCGCCGAAGCCCGCGCCGGGAGCCGGCAGCAGGGGGCGTCCGGGCGTGGCGCTGCCGCCCGCCCCCTCCTGCCCGCCGCTGCCGCCGGTGGCAGCGGTGGCGGTGGGAGGGCCCGGCTCGCCACGCGCGGCGGCGGCCTGCCGCAAGCCGCCCTCAAACAGCGCAGCCAGCGCCGCATCCTCCAGCAGCAGGTGCAGCAGGCGCAGCGCTTGCAGGCGCAGGGGAGGCGCCTGCATGAAGAGCTCCATGGTGCCTGCAGGCGCAGGCAGGCGCGGCGCCAGGTGGCGAGCAGGCGTGAGCAACAGACACAGACCGGCGTGGCATGGTGGCAGCCGCATGCGTGCATGGGCCTGCACAGACCTGTGGTCAAGACAGGGGCCAGCACAGCCCGTTGCCCCTCCTCCTGCATCGCCCGGGCAACCTCCAGGATGGTGCCTAGGGCGCCGGCTGCCACCCCCTCGTGCCGCGGCCCCAGCACCAGCGCAGCGCTCAGTGCCACGGGCAGCAGCACGCCGCCGCTGGCGGCGGCGCCGGCATGCAGGCCCGCAAACACAGGCGCATGCCGCTGCACCAGCAGCGCTGTTCCAAGCAGCGCCGCGCCGCCTCTGCTGCTGCTGCCGCCGCTGCCGGACGCAAGCGAGCTGCTGGCTGGGGCTGCTGCTAGTGCCGCGCCGCCGCAGAGCCGCACTCGGCTGGACAGCTGGCGTGGGGCGGCCGCACCTGCCAAGCCGCCGCCGCTGGCGGGTTGCACGGGTGCCAGTGCCGCCGCCTGGCAGCCCGCATCCAGCTCAATCAGGTGCTGCGCTACATGCAGCCCGGCCGCCAGCAGCTGCAGGCGCTGCTCCGGAAGGTCGCCGCCGCTGGCGCCCTGCAGCTGCGCCATGCTGGCCGCCACCAGGCTGCCGATGCTGTCTAGCAGCACGCATGGCGGCAGCATGCTGCACGCCACCTGCTGCACACGCTGCGAGAAGGCCGCCACAAACGCCAGGCTGTCGGCATCCCGTGCCCGCGCCGCCGCCGCCGCCAAGCGCGAGCGCAGCAGCAGCGCGGTGGAGGCGGCTGCCGCGGCGCCGGCGCCGGCGCCGCTGCCGTCTGACTCTGGGCCTGCTGCGGCGCCCGCCAGCAGCGCCATGCTGGCATTGCACGCCGCCATCAGCTGCGCCACCAGGCTGGCGCTGCTGGTGAGGCTGCTGGCTGCCGCCATCACAGCAGGGTCCAGCATGGGACCAGCAGCAGCAGCAGCAGCGGCGGCGGCGGCAGGGGGAGCAGGCACGGCATCAGCTGCAGCCTCCACCGCAGGTGCCGCGGCCACCGCTGGCGTCGCGCCGGACGCCGCCGCTCCGCTGCCCGGCTGCCGCCGCTTCTGGCTGCCGCCACGCTGCGCTGCTTCCGTGGCGGCGGACGAGGCCTGGCCAGCGCTGGGGCGCTGCTGCAGCGAGGCCGCCGCCGCTGCGCTGCCGCCTCCCGGCTCCTGGGCCGCCGTCGCAGTGCCTGCCGCCGCCGCCTCTTGCGCCGCCTGCCTCTGCTGCTCCCGCAGCTCCGCCAGCGTTGCATCCGTCTGGCGCAGGCGCTCTGTGCGCTCGGCATACTGCCGCCGTAGGTCTTCCATCTGCCGGGGAGCAGGGGAGGCCAGGGATGCAGGGGCTCAGCAGCAAGTTCAGCGCCACCTCACCCGGTGCCACTGTCCTTCACCGCATGCAGGGTGGAGAGCTGGCAGACACCCGGGCAACAACGGAGCCCGCCAGCGAAACAAAACGCACGCCTGCACCTGCTCCCCAGTGCGCCGCCACAGCAGGCACCGCAGCACCCACCTCCGCCTCCTTGAACGCCAGCTGCCGCTGCATCGACTCCAGCTGCCGCTGCAGCTCGCCCAAGGCAAAGGAGGGCCGCTGCGGGCCCGCCGCCGCCGCCCCGCCCGGACCCGCCGCCGCCGCGCGCTCCAGCTGCGCCTTCTGCTGCCGCAGGGCAGACAGCTCGCGGTCCTTGTGCTGCACATTGGACGCCAGCAGCTTGTTCTGCCCCTCGCTGCGGCTCAGCTCCGCCTGTAGCTGGGCCACATGCGCCGCCAAGTCCTGCGGGTGCATAGCACCGTTGCCGTGCGGAGGCTGCGCCCACTGCTGCTGCCCGCTGCCGGCTCCTGGCGGGGGTGGTGCGCCGCCAGAGGCAGGTGCCGAGCGAGGCGGCGGTGCCTGCTGCCGCGGTGGCTGCACCAGCGGCGGCTTGTGTATCTGGCACGCGGCAGGGCCAATGCCATTGATCTGCTGCAGGGGCGCGGCGGACTGCTGCTGGAAAAGCCCAGTGGGCGGCAGCTGGCCTGCTGGCGCCTGTCGTGGTGGGCGGCCACCGCTGGCGGCAGGCGGCGCCAGGTAGGGGCTGCTGGGCTGGGAGCCGCGGACGGGCTGCGGCGGCAGTTGCGTGTGCTGCATCAGGGGGTCGCAAGGCCACGTGATCAGACCGCTGCCAAGCAGAGAAGAGGGTCGAGCGGCAACCCACCTTCTCCTTGTGCTGCGCCACCAGCTGATCGATGACGGAGTAGAAGCTGTCATCCATGTCCTCGTCTGAGTCCATGGCGCTGCAAGAATGTCAATCTCAAGCAGCAATTGGCCAGTTCAATTCGCTGCTGCAAACGATGGACGGGTGGGGGGGGGGTGG